TCTCCAACCTCACAAGCAATGGTTAGCCAGATTGTACGCGTTTGCGTCGCTGCGATTTCTTCGATTACAGACGGCGCGCCTGAGCTGCAGCTCGTACAGTACGTGTAAAGGGACGGTATTCTTAAGTGGAAAAAAAATCTTTGTGGTCTCAGAACTGACGAATGTCAGTTTAATTCTTTGTTAGAATGTACAGTTCGTATTGCATGTTCCAGACGTGAGCTCGGTTACAGGCCGAATATTTTGAGTAGGTGCACGTCCTCAGGCAAGTTTACTGTTTTAGCATGTGAAGCTGTAGGTTGCTAGGATTTCCTTTCTGGAGGCTGTAACCTTGTGCTTCGAACCTTTTCACGCAGAAGCGCTGGCCTCCGACTCTCAATTGCATTTCTCTCACCAAGCAATATTACTCCAACCTATAGACAGTGACTAATTTTCTTTAGCATCATACTCGCAATGTATTCTTTTCGCAGTGCCTTGTGTATGTTGGCTTTCTTGATACCGTGTTCATGTTGCTGATGGTGGGAAAAATGCATTGCACAACAGAGTGACTACACAGTTAATGCAAGGGACAGAGAGGAGCAACCCACACCGACTGTGTCGAAAATTCTCATTCCTTGTTTACATTTGGTAAACTCATGCTCACATTCTAAGTCTTTTGAATGATGCTGCAACATACTTCGTGTCTACATGTGAGGAAATCAGAATAGATATATACTGCTGGAAATTTGCACTTTGTGTTCTAGTGTCAGTGTACATCCTTCTGCTTCGTTGTTACAACAACCCAGTTTTTGTTTTGGCTACTTCATGAGAAGATATGATGATTCCACTTTGGATGTGCTGTCGTTGTTTCCCTATCACCACCGACATCTCCAAATGATCAGGACTCATCCTAAAACTCTATTTTTGATAAATTTTGATACCATATTTCTGATTAATTTTTTATATAGTATTTTTCATTCATTTCTGATAGAATATTTTTTATAATTTTCCATAATTTCTTTTATTCCTAATATATTTTTGATGTATTTTTGATAATTCTAATACAATATTTTTAACACACATTTTTGCTATAATAATTTTGTTATTGAAGCAAACACATTTGATACTAATTAGCATTTGATACTAATTAGAATTATAACACATCAAAAACTATACTATTGATGCTTTATTGTGTATTTAGCATATATTTAAGCTTCATAAAAAAATCTTTGTTTCTCCAAGCTCCACTGAATATTGTTAGTTCATGTTTGTTAAGTAATCAATAGTAAATAGATTTGTTTTTTGAGGAATTGAGTTAGGAAGAATCTTACTTCAAAATGATAAGTGTTCTTATTGTACATGTTGTTTTCACTAATATTGAGAAATTAAAAACTTATTTTTTATGATAAAATTAATAAATATTATGAAATATCTATTTTCAAATTCAACTAAATAAGATACATTGTGAAATATTCTAATGTTATTTGTAAATAGAGTTTGCATGTGTCACATTTTCAATTGACAAGTACAAGTGAAATTATCATTTAAACACTTGTCTTTAAATTATAACCATAATTAGCATAGGAATTGATGACATTTGTTCATGAAGGACTTCCATGCATTAATGTTGGTAATTTAGGCCATTAATAAGCAAATATGATTTAAATAGCAAATAATGTGAAAAATAAATTGATAGACATACAACAATATAGAGCTATAGATATTTGAAAGGATATTTGATGTAATACAAGCATTACGGTATTCCACCAAATGACAGCATGGAAGAGAAGAAGTTGCATCTGAGCAAATTGGCTCTTACAAAGATAGCTACAGTAATTTGAAAGTATATGGTCACCAAATGTAATCAATGAATCTCAAAAATTATGCATTAGTAGAGGTTGATGAAAAAAAAAAAAAAAATGAATTATTTGTTATCTACAACAAAAATTTATAAGACTTGTAACATTATTGACTTATTATTGGTATAATTAGCATCCATTTTAAAAAATAATATTGTGGACTACATCTTGTTACTACAACAATCTATCAAAGATAAGAACTTAATAAATACAAATAAACAAGTAAAATTTTTTTTCAAAAAAAATGACAAATTAAAAATAAAAAAGTATGTATATTCAAAAAGAAACTAGAATAGCTATTGCCAAAATATAAGAAAACTAGAGATCCTTCAAATATGACTAGAAACAAAAAAGAAGTTGACAAGAATGAAGAAGACTTCACTCTTGCTTCTATATATATTATCTATCTAAGAGCTATGTGACAACATTCTATAGGACCTCTAATATATGTCTAATTTGTAAAATACATATCCTTACTTAGAAGAAATGTTTTCTATATGTGCTCTATATTATTAGCTTGTACTATAAGCTACTAATACATGCAATACTTGTCTAATTTATTGGCTAAGTTTCTAACCTATCAATTACCTATAGACATGTATAAAGGAGAAACTTCATCTATAAAGCTTTTAAAAAGCTATTCTATAAGATATTATGAAATTAATTTATTTTTACTAACTTCTATCTATTCATATTACCTAAGTAATTAATAGAATAAATATGTATGTTTGTGAGATAAGGACCAATTATTTTTGTTTTCAACATTAAATTCTTAAAAAATTGATTTATATCAAAAGAAGTTGTTAAGGACTTCATAAGCACTGGATCTCAGTATTAGACATCATTATAGTTTGACAAAAATTAATTTGGCAACATAACTTCAAATATTGTGAAATCTCTTGACTCTTAGATCTTGGAAGCACATGAGATGCTATTAATTTCAATGCTAAAATTAATTTATCATCAACTCATGGTATAGTATAATAAATGTCGTATCATAAGCAATATAATTATTGGGCTATTGTCAATAAGTATATAGCACCAGATTGAATGGTCAGAGACATTTACACATGAGTACTACATCAGTCCTTCTATTGATATTATCTTTGAATGCATTTCAAAGCAATCATCTAATATTTTGGATTTATAAAACTATACATGTACTTGCAAATGGTAGCAACTATCTGGAATCCTATATATGCATGTAATTAGCACTTTGCTATTCATGCAGCAATCTATTGCCAGCGATACTATTTACTTTCATACTATTGTAGCCCAACAAGCAATCTATATAATAGCCATCACTTCAATACCATCTATTAATTATTAGACAAAATCAAGCAACAAAAAAATGAATTATTGATCCAATCCTTGATATGACATCGACCTAACTATCCAAAGAAGTATTGTATCTATATGGAAGATTTAGAAATAACTAAAAGAATGCTTAGATTTAGTTGATGCAAGAACACCAAGCATAATTGTATAACTTGTAAGCAACCAATTTGGTTCCAATATTGATCTATTGCTTCATGTAATGTTTAATTTTATTTTTAATTTTATATTTTGAATCAAATTATTATGATGTTGTAAATTAAATAAAAAATTATATATATTTTTATTTTCAAATGAGTACTATTAAAAATTATACTTGCAAAAAATAATATTAAATTTTAATTCAAATATAGATATTATCAAATTTATAAAAAATTATTTTTATTATTGATATTATCTAATTTTTTTTTATAATATTGAATTAATTCCTAAAACTTAATAACTTTAGTTTATTTGAATTAGAAGCTTTTTATATTTTATTAGTTAATAGCTCTAATTCTTTCATTAGAAAAGAAGCTTAATCTTATATCATTAATCTAGTATTAAGATTTAAAATATTCAAAAAATATGTAATATATATTTTATGTAATAAAAAAATAATTTAAAAAAATTTAATTAAATACTTAACTAGTAAAAATATTAGATATATATATATTATAGCTAATAATTAATTTTTTATTTAATAAATAGCATGACAACATGCTTCTTGGTATAAAAATATGATGCTTGATTATATATTTAAGGTATTTCATCTTATAGAAATATAATTCAATTTGATTTTTGAAAATATTATTACACTAATAACTAGCTCATATATATAGAAACATTTTTTTTGCCTATAGAAGTTTCTTAATACACAAGATGTTTCTTATATATATATTTAAAGTGCAAAGCATACAATTAAGTTTTAATTTATAAGCATGCCAAACAATATTCAAAAAAATATATTCATAAACAAGATGAGCTACTAAATAAAGTTAAAAATCAAAACAGATTTTGTGACAATTTAGTGCTGAAAAATATAGTTGTTCTCCTTCTCATAAAATAATTCAACAATCTATTTGAAAACTTTTTAGATTAGGAAATGAGTATCAGTTATTATTCATTAGAACTCTCACACGTTAATAAAGTTGGTTGAATGACAATGTGTACCTGGTCGTTGATAATTGGTGAAGGTTAATTTGGATTCTGTGGATTGGTAAAACTCTAAAAAATTAAAGCCAGGAGGTTTATATAGTGTAGTGCTGAAAAACGAGGTCTGTTTTTTTGAAGTACTCTTGAATCAGCTCTGAATGATCAACGTGAATCGTAAGATAGAGAGTCGTGATCATGAAAAAGCAGACGGCTATGTGTTGATAGGATCAAACGGCATTTTAGCTCACGTCTGCAATTCATACTTGAACTTGACTGACACAGTGAACAAGGTTCCTTAGCGACAATCTTCGATCGGGCATTTCTGAAATGCTGTCATCCTTGCGCAGATTTTTTAGCGGCACAATAATGGCTTACATGTATTGAGCTATGTCCTCATTCGATGGTCGATGAATATGTATGCAGGCAATGGGCCGCATACATGCCATACGGCAAGTTAGGGAAGTCTTAACAAATGTTGCAGTATGTCGCCATACTTTTCCAATCGTTATGTGTTTTTGACATCAGCCAGTCTTGCTTAGTTCTGCGAATTTTGATATTATTGTTTTCGATGATGGAGTTCTGAAGGCTCTCAGAGCACTGTATGAAGAAGTTGGACTCGGATGGGTGTACGGTATAACTTACAAGCAGCTGGTGCGTTTAACTCCGAGAATCTTGTTTCATGCATATACGCAACTGTTCATTTTAAGTTGAACGAGCTGGAGTTTTGCCCAGTGCCTCGACTTCTTCTTAATTTTGCTTGTGTTCCAACATAACATCATTAACAATTCTACAACAGCATTTCGGGAATAATTAGATGAGATTGCATGCTTCGCTCTGACGTAGCGCTCAGCTTTGTGGATTCAGGACTGCCGTTCTGGAGAAGATCCCCGGTGCACAGTAGTTTCTGCGCACATGCGATGCGGGAGACTACACTGTGGTGCGGCGACTGCAGCTGGGGTGGGGGCGGGGGGATCGCGCAGGGTCCAGACAATCTGAAAGCATCCTCGGAGTTCACAACAAGGCTGTGATTCGGCAGCTTCATCTACGTATACGGCATGACGGGCATGGCTGCAATGATATTATTGTCCACGACTAAACTTCTAGAAAAACTTTGCCTGTGGTATCTGCTCAAGCCTGAATTCCTAACCACGCATTACGCATGGTGGTCTAAAAATTCTACAGCAACAATTCAGTCTCTCACTTGCTGCGCAATCGAACTGGCGACGTCTACATCGATAAACGAACAGAAAAAATATATATATAACTACTCGGGCGGATTATGCAGCGAAGGCGAGAATTTTAATCCTCGTCACTGGGGGATAAATCTTGAAGTGCATCTGTGGCCGAAGAGACAGTGGATGTGAAAAGAAGAAGAAATGGAAATGAGCAATTTTACAGTCGGTCCGTTTAGCTCATCTGCACCCAATTCGCCCAACTAGGAACGCCATTTACAATGGCGAACACCTTGTAGTATCCTGCAGGCGCAATTGTTGAATCTGGTGGTGCAGCTGAGGCTACTGTATACTTGCCAGCGCCAGAACCGACTGGAGCCTCAGCTGCAAGCTTCAGCAACCTTTGGCCCTGCACAAGAGAACGCAAAACATCACCGTAAAAACGCGGATCATTCGGCTAGTGGAGATTAAAAATGCACATGACAATCGGTTAAGTACCGTACCTGAGCGTATGAGTGTGTGACTAACGGCGAGCTGACCATGTTGAGCTGCACACCGGCAGAGATGTCACCATTGTAGGTGACTGTACCAGTGAACGCATCCCCGTACTTCATAGCACCGGGAACCTGCAGGCCGGGACGAGTGCCACCCAGGTAAGGAGGACTGAAAGCATCGATTCTGAGCTCGGTGGGGAATTCCCCCGTGAACGTGTAGAACTGATGGGTATTACTTCCCGCGCACAGAATCCGACCATCAGGCAGAAGGTTTGCAGTGGAGTGGTACATTCGGGGAATCGAGGAGCCAGCCAGCGTCTGGAACCGATCTCCAGCGGCTTTGTCTGGAGAGTAGAGGTCTGGAGTTAGGACAGGATCGCTGGCGTATCCCCAACCTTGAGATCCCTTCGCTGCACCGTTGATGATGATGACATCGCCCAGCGGTGTAAAAATCATATCGCCCATGTTACGTCTGTGAGGCATGGTTTCTATGGCCCACCCCGGATTCGCAGCCAAGGGGTTAATGCGGCCACAGGTGTTGCTACTAGGATACTGCGCACCAGGATTACTGAAGGCTCCCTCGCGGGCTCCTCCGCAGACGAGAATCTCGCTATACTTAAACCCGTCGCCTGATTTCAGGGGGAGCATGACGGAGCTTCCAGCGGAGGGGTAGTTCCGAGGCTCGCCTGGAAGCTGAGGAAGTCTCTTCACCTCGACATTCTTCTGCCAGTCGTAGAGAATACTGTCCTTGTTTGCGAAAATAAATAGGTTATTGTTGGGGAGGAGGTGCACGAATGGGTAAAGGTTGTCGTTCTGGGGACTGTTAGTCTGCAAGACATTGGAGGAGCTCAAAGACTATTTCACTGCCTGAGAACCGTATCTAAATGCGACATTTTCAGAATATCTCGAATAGGCTCTCTAGATAAAATAAAACAAAATAAAAAATGGCCATGGTTGATCAATGATGTAGAAGTAGTGATTACGAAGGAAAACTAAAGAATTCAGTTCGGGAGAAAGTGATAACATATCTACTCAAGATTTAGAAAAAAAAGGTGACAACGAGGGATTTGGATGTGCAGTGTACCTCCTGGAGAAGGGCCAACGTGGTTTGGCCGCGGCCATTTGCAGGGACGTATTCAATAGTGAATGCGTTTCGCCCGCCAACTACTGCTTGCGTGCCATCGGGGAGCTGCTGGTTGGATGCGTACCATCTTCCAATCTGGAGACTTGAGTCCGTCTCTACCCAATCGCAACCCCCCCCGTCGCCGCAGGGTTGGAAGTTGCGAATCTGTTAATATGCAAACTCTCAGTAAGGGGAATGCTTAGAAACGCAAGTACTATCATTAATCATGGAGTTAGGGCATGTCCAGAGACTGGTGGAATCTAAAATAACAAACTTCAGATTGCTCTTGGAGATTTAACCACCTTAGCCACTCCTTCAGCGTCTCCACCCGTTTGAACCATCTTTCCGGACCCGTCGAACTGCCCTGATGAGCACCATGTGTCGGTGAAGATAAAAAGTGGCCTGATTTCATTAGATCCAGGGGAGAAGATTGCTGAATGCGCCGTGCAGTCATATTTGTTGGCCTATCATTCAAGGGACAACTGTAGTGATTAGTCGTTTCAAGTCCTTTCTATTTTAAGAGTTTCATGAGCTGCTTTCTGTGCTCCACCAAATATGGTAACAGAATGCAATCGTTTCTAGTGCCAAATTCATTGGTCTAGAAATCCAAGAGTTCAGAGCCGGTTAAGCTCCAGTCTACTTTGAGTCGAATAGTTCAAGCATCATCAAGAGGAAAGAGTAGCCGTTGTTCGTCAGAAACACTAATTCTGCAATTATGCAAGTTTTGTCAAGTGTCAATGTCAGAACTTGCTCTTCCCTGAACTGTATGATGGCGGCACACTGAGCATGCGGAGTGCCATGAACCTTGTGAATTGACGGAAAGCAACGAAACAGTTTGGAACTGCCAAAACTCACCCGATCAACTTCATTTTGCCTACACCGCCCATTGTCCAACGGGAGCTGCGAATCACCGATATTAGTGCGGTCGAGAAGAATGACATTCCCGTAGTGTGTCACCGCAGCATGCATGGTTGCGATTCCTGCATTTTCCTTCACTATCTCCCAGTACCCCTGGCCTATCACTCCAGGCAGCAGTAGTCCGCTGCACAACAACAGTAATGCTAACACCTGTGGAAGGAGACCTCTCTCTACCTGTGCCATCTTGCCACACTGAAAACTGAGTTTACTGAGCGTATCCACCTGACAATTGCAACTAAGAGTTCATCCACATTAATCACTCCGATGTCCTATCTACTTCAGCAAGCTTAGAGGATTAGCCTGACGCTTCGGTCCTGGCCTGCGACGAAATGTCATGCAAGAATCAGATCTAGCACTCTGAGCTCCGGAACTGACACTAACAACGTCGTCCAGTTGCAACTCAAAACTGCACCTTTTCTGCGGCATAAGATAAGCCCTGTTATAGAAAGACAGAGAGACCGGAAACAAGGAAGTTAGACCGCTTCGTCTGCACGGAGACTTGCGATGAAATTTAATTGACTATGTTTCATTTTCTCAGGAGGAACGGTAGGAGAGCAAAGCGGGTGGGCCCTCGAGTGAGCATAGCAGGTGGGTCTAACACAACATGAACAGTTTGACAGAGATGAATTTCGTCGACATTTCACTACACTGAAAAATGCACTCTTGTGATGATGGAGTCCCAAGACAGCGAACATGCTCGGAACATTCCACAGTAATCGACAACATGAATTATTGCACCAGGGTTCGGGATTTATCATGAGGTCCAATCCAGCTAAATTTGTCTTCAAACGCGCAAAATGCATTAGTCACTGTTGGTGTGGCACACTCACACATCACTCCTCTGCATTGATTCTGTCTTGGACTTCCCCAAGCCCCTAATCACGCTATGTTTTTCGCTCGATGACGTCAACGCACTGTCAGAACATTTCCTGACTATACTCCAAATAGGTGGATGGAATCCTAAATGATGGCCACAACAGTCCAGAGCTCCAAAGAGAAGCTCATCAGCTTGAAGTTCATTGGGTTGCACGACCCCAGCAGAAGGACTGAACAGTCAAATTGAAACTCGTCATGAAATGTATTGTTTTGGAATCTGACAATCACTCGTCTGGCCAATGATATCGTATGGTGGTGTTGACGGGGACTAACGTTAAGATGGGCTCACCATGTGCTTGGCTGCACATTGTGATGAAGAAACCCATTGTGACCAAAGGTCGTTGTGTTTCGGCTTTAGAGAACTCTTCTAGAATAAATTATTCAACATTCGATCCATCTGTCGAAAGCTTGTCACAAACAAGCTGAATAAAATTGATAAACCACCGATCAATAATCACAACTGAAGCCTCTAAATTCACAACTTAGCTTTTTTTATTTATTTTAAGGAAAGTTCACATTTAAGTAAAAGGGATGGGCGTTGACCAATGGAAGACATGGTGGAGCAGGCGAGCGGCCGAACACAAAAATACAAATTACCATCTAGTTCTCGTTGAAAAGGACCCCTTTCATTCAATCATTAACCAGAATCGTAAGCAAAGCCCCAGGCTAAGCTGACACATGCAGTTGTGAGAAGAGCGTGGGCTGGCACTGATGACATCGGAGTGGGCGATATCTTCACGTGCAGGAACCATCGCATCTCGGACTGGTTAAGAATTTTTGTTTATAAATGCACCATCTGACTAAAGTCGATCAACATGGCGTTCAGGAAACGGTTTCCTGCAACCGCTCTTTTACTGTACACGGATGTTCAACACCATCGAAACAATGCTGCTCTATTCTGTCGAATTTTCTGGTCCCAACGGCATTGATCCGTTCACTAGTTTTCGGAAGCGAAAATAGAAAGCCGGCCCATTAAACCCGTGCAAAGTTCGGCCCCACACTATTCATGGGTGCTTTGCCTTTGAGTTCGCAGCTCTGGTTCAAGACTCTTCTTCTATCTGCAAGCTTTAATAGCATTTCGGCTAGGATTCGATGCTTCTCCTGTCATTCAAGAGCTGGGCAAAGCATCAGCAGACAAAGACTGATTCGTTGGAACCGCCGCACGTCTAATGCAATGAGTTAGTTAATGGTTGGGCCTTTTACAAAGCTGCATGGGATCTCAGTGCTTTTTCTATGTCTTTTTCGTCGCAAAAGAACAACGGAGAACTCATTCAAAAACTATAAATCATCGATTAGGTTATCATGAGCATTAATTAGTTAGTATCATACTAGGTTTAGCAGTTATTATCTTTAGCAGGTACTAGGTTTAGCAGATCTATTGATAGAGTATATGTGTCTCTACTTTCATGTATCATCAAGTCACATTGTAGTTCTACAGAGTTTTATCTTAGGAAAAATATCATATATATCCCTCAAATATATTAAAATATCAAGAATATTTCTACATTCTTGATAATAGCAAATATATCTCTCAAAGTTTTGATGATAGCAAAAATATCCTTGAATATAATAAGGTATCTCCAATTTGACAACAACCTTTGGATTCTATTTTTTTTTTTGTTTTATATAGGCCTAAAACTTATGTTTTTATAATGCAACTTGATTTTTTTTTTTTTTTCTTTTTTGTTTTATAATCTTATGGAATTGCAATTGTAGCCTTGAAAGCCCTTGTCATCTGTTCTTGCATTGTCATGTACTAATATGAGCATTGGGTGAAAGAAAAAAGAAAGAATTTTATTATAAAAAAGCCTAGTAGAAAGATATAATAATTTTTTTAGTCTTAATGCTGCATTTTTGTGGAAATGACTTCTATTTACTTTGTAGGTGCATAAATGAGCCAATCAAAGTAAATAAAATAAATAAATAATTAATATAGGCATATTTAAGAAAAGATTAAGAATAGATTTTAGCAAAAATTACCTTAAAATATGAAAATTTGATATCCAGAGAGGCCCAATTGCTAATTGTGAACCAAGTTTCAAATTAGATCCTAAGGCTTAAAACCACTCACTTATAACAACTCCATGGTTCTTTGGTTGATAAACGAATAGGATTTGAAAGCAGACAAGAAGAAATTCTTTAAGTATTAATTTGAGGCGATTCTAGTGTATAATGGCTTTGTAAAGACTTTGAAAAGTTAGGATTATTTTTAAATGATTATAGATTTTGAGAAATCTAAAGAGTTGGTACTTTGGACAATTAAGTGAGATTTGTAGATGTTCTAAGAATGAAATCTTGTAATTAATTATTTATTATATTGCATAATTTGTATTGTAAGTGTGAGTTTGATTTAACAATTTATTCAAAGTTTATTAAAGCTCAAACATATTGAAGTCTTAAAAATTAGAATTTAGAAGAATAATAAGGATTTTTAAAATATTTGTTAATACATCATTTGAATTGAAGTTAAATTTTGCATATAAGTAGTAAAATTGACTTCCAAAAATTGTGCAAAGTTTGTGAAATGAAGAGTTTTTGGCTTTGAAATATCAACATTAAGGTTGAAGGAGAAGGCCAGCCAACACTCAAGCAGATTTTAGAAATTATCTTCTATTTTTTACATTTAATCTTCTTTAATTTTTTTAATATTTATTTCTAATTTAGTGAAAAGTGCAAAAACTTTGAATTAAAATCAACTGTATTATCATTAATTATTGATATTTCAATTTGTTGTAGGATTTAAGATATGTTTAGGACTTGATTAGGATTTGTTAGGATTTCACTAGGATTTGGTTTAAAATTTGGTTAGGATTTAGAATTTGATTAGGATTTTATTAAGATTTTATTAGGATTTGATCAAGGATTTGATTAGGATTTAAAATTTGATTAGGATTTAGTTATGATTTAGGATTTTATTAAGATTTGATTTAGATTTGATTAAGATTTGATTAAGCTTTGGTCTAAGATTTGATTAGGATTTATTCAAAATTTGATTAAGATTTATAATTTATTTAGAGCTTTATTAGGATTGATTTAAAGCTTCATTAGAATTTAATTAGAATTTTATTTAGGATTTGATTCAGGATTTAATTAGGATTTTTTTAGGATTTTATTAGATTTTGATTAAGATTTAATTAAAATTTCTATTTTTAATATTATTTAAAGATTTTTTTGATATTTTTTTTAGGATAATTTTTATTATTTATATATATTTTTAAGATTAATCTATAATTTCTTTGCATTTCTTTTATAAGTTCTTTAAAACTCTTTTAGAATTTAATTAAAATTAAAATAATTTTAAAAAATTAATTAAAATTATTATATTCTAATTAGAATTTGTTTAAGATTCTATTGAAATTATTACAGTCTTTTTATTGCAAGTTCTATTTTATCTTCTACAGTTAGGTGCTCGATGCATTCTCAAGCAAACTTCACAAAATATAATAGGGCTTATATTAGTTGTCTAAAATATGTATGTGATGTCTCTTTGGCATTCTATTGCTGCTTATATGTGGCCAAATAATTCTTGAATCAAAATGCTAGCTTGATTATTTTGATTACTTTTAAGAGTCATCTTTGATATATATATATATACTAATTACAAGATTATACAATGTATTTAAAGCACAAGACCTCTTTTTATGGCTTTTATACTGAAAATATTCAATATTTTAACAAGTCATAGAAATATTTCTTTTAATAATGAGCAAGTGCCTTTCATCATTTTATTATTGATAATTATTTAAAATTATATTTTCTACAAAAGAAATTAAAGTATTGCAATATAGATTTTTTTTTTTTGTTAATGGTACAAATGAAAAAGAATTTGATTTCAAGAAATTTAGTATAGAAAGTATTTGGTCTAAACGTTACTCAAAATTCAAACCAAACATTGACTCTAAATTAGGACCTAAAATATATTATGTTACAACCACTGCTTTATTAATGATCTTTGTATATTAGGAGTAGACTTGTTTGGCTTGTGGACATGCCTAAAATCTATTGAATATTGTTTTAAGATTTTTAAAGCAAAATAAATAAGGAACATCTATGGTAGAGATCACTTTTCTTCACCAATCTTTTATAGCTATTTCTTTGTGTCAAATACTTGAGATGAATGCTACCTTCTTCTAGGATTAGTTTGATTAGTAAGATACTTATTATTGGATCGATTTGTTGTTGAAAAGAACAATTTTTTATTTTGTGATGCTAAAAATGACCTTTTTGTCAAGACTAGTTATCTAACAATGGATTCTTTTTTTGTAATAAAGTTCAAGAGGGATATGTTTTCAATCCAAATGTATTATTTTGGATCAATGTTAAGTTTATTAATTAGATTGTAGAAGAAATATATAATGTTATGTTTGGTCCTTTATTTTGCTTAAGTTACTTAGATCTTCTCTATTGTATACTTGATGTTAGCTTTTCTTGTCACATCTTTGGAGATTATATTATTGAGGGAGAATTTGTTGCTTATCTAGGTTATGATGTTTGTGATGGATTGGAATATTTGAGCTTTGTTGCTTATATTTAAAACTTCATCTTGAAAATCTTTCTATGAAATAATCATTGATGTACTTATTGAAGGATAGAAATTTAGAGAGGCTTATGTAATAAATATTGAATT